AAGACAATATGATTATTGAAGTAATCACATGATTTCATTTTTTATTGATTCATTATGACATCTCAAACCAGCATTAATATGTGACAGTAATGGTTGTTACTTTTTTAGCGGGCTTGTTGGATTGGTAGCCCATCAAGCAATCGACCTGGCTATCTTCTCTCATTTTGGCTTTTTTAAACACTCTCATTTGGGCTGTTGCTTTGCCAGGTTGGTGAAAATAAAGAGAGTGCCTAGAACTCATCTGGATGAGGTATAATTTGGTCTCATTCACCTGCACCAGGTGACATTACCTCTTTCTTGTCCCAGCATGTTTGGCAATGGGCCTTTTCTACAAAACTTTGGCTTGGACCATTCCCTAGTTTTCCTTTTTGTTTGCTTTTTGCGTTGTCTGTGTTCAGCTATGTTGCATGTAGTGAACCCTTGCTCATGTTTCCTTCTTTGCTCTTTTCTTTTTTGCAATTCATGCCAAACACGTACTATTTATACTTACTAGACTTCGCACTTGCTTTCTCTTTAGGCTAAACATATGACGGGCTGGCCGCGATGCACATTTTCTTATTTTCCTCTTGTAACTACTACTTATTTTGTTATCTAAAACAAAATTGCACTTGGTATAACAAACTATGCAAAACGTCAAAAGAAACATTAAATTTTCTCTCCGAAAATACCAGATAAAAAAACTAGATGCATGCGCATGTTGATGTCCACGATAGAAAAATAAAAGAAAGCCCTAGTTGAACATATGTTGCGATGTGTGCAATTGTGTGCGGGCACTAGACATACCATTGCATGTGAAAGGCAGCCTGCAATTGGTGGGTCATTTTTAGAAAAATAATACCAACAAAAAAATTGTTGCATATCCATGTTGTAAAAAAAGAATCCTACGTAGTTGCACATGTGGTGTGGCACTTGTACTGCGGGCTTGTTGCGATGCTTGTAGTTGTGTCCGAGGTGAACTTGCAACTGGCCCGACTACCCCTTATCACCTAAGTTGCAGTTGCTTTGTGCCTCATGTGGTAGTCGTCATGTTATATTTCTCAGAATTGCATGTCTAGTGGTGGACACGGAACTGGACCGGCAACACTCTCCCGATCCTAGTTTAAAAAACTAGTTGTTTTGTGCCCCATGTAGTTGCGGCTGGGTTACAATGCTTGCAATTGCATGTCCAGTGGTGGACATGCAACCGGCCCCAAAAAACCCCACCCTAGTTGCATTTGTTTTGTTTATGTGCAGTTGCAATCGGGTTAAAATGCTTGCAATTGCATGTCTAGTCATGGACATGAAATTGGAGCTACAACCGTCTCTCCCCGGCCTCACTTGCATCTGCTTTGTGCAAATGGCCCTAATAACTCCCCATCTGACCCTAGTTGCTGCCGCTTTTGTGCAAGTGCAGACATAGTCTGTTTCAGCGCTTGTACTTGCATGTCTATTGATGGACATGCAACTGGCCCGACAACTTTATCTAAAAATACATGCATGACAACTCCCCTTCTGACCCCAATTGCAGTTACCATGCAGCTGCAGTATGTTACAATGCTTACAGTTGCATGTTTATTGATAGACATGCAACTGGCGTGACAACCCCCTTTTCGCCCCTAGTTGCAGTCACGCATGTGCCTAGGCAGTTGTAGTCGGTTACAATGCTTGTAGTTTCATGTGACATGCAAATGGCCTGACAACTCCCCACCCAACCTAGTTGCAGTCATGTTTGTGCCCCCTGCAGTTGCAGTCAGATTACAATGCTTGTAGTTGCATGCCTAGTGATGCACATGCAACTGACACGACAACCTCTCCTAGCCATAGTTACAATCACATGTGTACCCATGTAGTCGTAGTCGGTTACACCTCTTGCAGTTGCATGTCTAGTTTTGTACATGCAACTGCCTGGAAAACTCCCTACCTGACCCAGTTGTAATTATGTGTTGTTCATGCAGTTGCTTTTCTAGTGAAGGACATGCAACTGGCACGACAACCCACTCCTGCCCCCAGTTGCAGTCTACCGATAGACATGGAACTAGCTCGACAACTCCCCACCCGACCTAGCTGTAGTCATATGCATGCCCCTGGAGTTGTTGTCGGGTTACAATGGTTGCAGTTGCATGTCTAGTGATGGACATGCATCTGGCCTGACAACCACTTCTCGACCCAGTTGCAGTCACTTTCTGGCCATGTAGTTGCAATCCCATTTGTAAACTTACAGTTACAACCCATTTTTTGAAGTTGCACTTATGATCCATTTTTGGAAATCTTATAGTTACGACCCCTCTAAAAATGTATCTGGTGTGTATAGACAAATACAATGTGTATGGAAAAATTATACATAAAAAATATAATTTTTCAAAAAAATTAATAATGTATTTGGATAATATTAAACATGCAAATAAAAAATATTTATGATCTATAAAAAATGTACAATCTACATGGAAAAGTAGACATTCAAAATCTTAATCATAAATTTAGAAAATGTTAAACATGTATAAATAAAATGTTCCTGGTGTATAACAAAAAATGTAGAATGGAAAAGGTTGACATAAAGAATATTTTTTAAATGTTAATCATTTAGTCCAAAAATGTTAAAAGTTTATATAAAAAGTGTTCCAGATTTATACAAAAGATGTACAATGCGTATGAAAAAAGTAGACATAAAAAACTATAAGTTTCAAAAATGTTTATCTTGTATTTGGATAATGCTCAATGCATATGTAAAATATGTCCGTCATGTATACAAAAATGTACATGAAAAATGAAGAAAACAAATGGAAATAGAAAAAATAAGAATGAAGAAAGAAAAGCAAAAAAACTAGTGAAAATCGAGAAAGAAACAAAGAAAATGAAGAAAAAAGTAAAGAAAAACCGAGTAAAAACTGTGAAAGAAACAAAAAATTGTGAAAAAATAAAGAAAAACAAAAAAGCCCGAAGAAAACCGTGAAAAACAAAGAAAACCGAAAAGAAAACAAAACCCCTTCCCATCACCCAGTTGCAATCAATTTGTGGGTCGTGCTATCGCGGACGGATTACAACACTTGTAGTTGCATGTCCACCACCAGACATGCAGTTTGGTGTTGCGGATGGACATGCAGTTTGGACATGCAACTAGACAGAAATCCCCCTCCCGCTTCCACCTGCATCCGCTTTTGGGCCATGCAGTTGCGGATGGATTACAACACTTATTGTTGCATGTTTGGTGTTGCACATGCAACTGGGCGGCAAAACCCCTCCCGCCTAGTTGCAGTCGGGCTACAAAACTTGTAGTTGTGTTTGTGATGGTGGACAAGCAATTGGTCCGACAATGTCCCACTCACCCCATTTGCGGTTGCTTTTTAGGTAATGTTGTTGCAGTTGGGCTACAAAGTTTGCAGTTGCATTTCTGGTGGTGGATATGAAAACTGGCCAACAAAAGCCCTCCCGTTCCCACTTGCGGATGCTTCATGGGGCCATCCAGTTACAGTCAGGCTACAACACTTGCAATTGCATGTATGATGTTGGACATGCAATTCGCACCACAACCTCCCACCCTCTGCCGCATAAAAACAAATTATAAAAAATAAAAGTAGATAAATAGAAAAAAACATAGATGAATAGAAAAGAAATCCTCACCTACCACGCCAGCCCCAAAACACACATATTTTTAAAAAGAAAAAGAAAACTAGATATTATTTAAAAAATCACAAAACACCCGTATTTTAAAAAATAAGAAGAAAAGCGAAAGCAAAAATAAATATGAAATGAAAAAGAAACTCAAAACAAAAATCACAAACAAAAATACAAAAGATGGGAAAATGAAAAATAAACTAAAATAGTGAATAAAAATGCAAAAAAGAAACCAATAAGGTAAGATTATAGTAGATTAAAGTTAATAATTTTTGCCTGATTTAAAAAATGTAAAAACATACATATTCATAGATCCTATTTAAATTTGTTCGCTATTCCTACTGGCCTCCTACTACGACTACAAGCTTGCAGCCGCTGGAGTATAGCTCAAGTACAATGCGTAGCCACAACAAATTCAGTTTACCTACACTCGCTGGAGAGAAGGAAGAACTAGCTGCAGCCGGGGGCGCGCCGGGGGAGGGGGGGGCGCTGAAGAGGCAGTATCTATCTTAGGGTTCAGGGTGGGGGCGGTGGAGTCCGGCGGTGGTGGGGAGGTGGCGTGGGGATTTGCTGGAGAAAAAACTTGGCACATGGGGCCTAGAGGGATGGTCGGGGCGGAGGAGGACCGGCAATGGGGAGTGGTACCTGGGAGGGCGGGACGGCGAGGTGGCGGGGGCCGACGGCGAGGCCAGCGGTGGCTAGCAGCTTAAGAGGATGGAGGTTGAAGAAGCACTATGGGCCTTTGATTTCGCATCCAAAGGCTCAGAAATCGACTGGCCACAAATGAAAATTTCAACTGACTGATTTCTAGCCATTCCCCAACAAATTGGCATCACGCATATTCTTGCTGGCCTCCTACTACGGCTACAAGAGCTTCCGCCGTCGCAACCCCCGGAAGCCCGGACCAACGTTGCTGGAAGCTGTTGCCTCGACAAGCGCACGGGCGCGGCCATCTCGGCGCCGGCAGGACAAGTTCGATCGCCTCCGCCGTCGGCGGCCTGGCTTTCCCCGACGTCCCGGCCGGGCGGAGCAGTGTTAGAGGAGGCCCTCCACTGGGCCTCGAACCTGCCACCCAGACTTCCTTCGCCGTCCTCGAAGGTCTCGGCCAGTTCGTGCGGGGCCTGGAGTACGCGGCGGAGGTACAACCAGTGACGCACTACGTCTCCTCTGCTTGGATTGCTTCCGTGCGCAGCTCGGTGGCATGGCAGAGTTGCCATTTGGGGCGCTCACGTCACGCACGCGCATGTGAGCGGGGAGCCTCCCCTGCTCAGGGCGCTCGCTGATGGCAGTGATTCTGACCGGGATCGCTTACAATAAGACGAGCAGGTTCCCAGTTTCTCCATGGATCCCCTTCTGTTTTGGATTTAGCCGTGCCAGATTGCGCATTAGCGGCCACCAGCTCAGTTCCTATGATTGAAAAAACTATTATTATCACCAGGCACGTCGCACTCAGCCACAGCCCACAGGCCATCGCCATGCATGACAGCTCGCTGCAGTGCACGCACCGGCGCCATTGTTTACGATAAGCTCTCTTTCTCCTTCCTTTGTCGTGACGCCTCGTGTCACTCGCTGGTGCAGGTGGGACCCGAACATGTCGGCGGCGCTGCCGGACGGCGAGGTCTTCTACCAGGTGGCGCTGCTGCAGTTCTGCCGGCCCTACCCGGGCGGCGGCCCCGCGGTGATGGAGCTGGTGGCGCAGAACGGCGCCGTCGTCGACGCCTGCCGGAGCAACGGCTACGACTTCAAGATCTACTTCCGGCGCTACCACACCGAGGCGGACTGGGCGCGCCACTTCGGCGCTAAGTGGGCCCGTTTCGTCGAGCGCAAGGCCCGCTACGACACGCTGGCGATCCTCGCGCCGGGCCAGAAGATCTTCGCCAGGACACCTTCGTCGTCACGGGTGGATCGATCGTAGCTGTTGTTGGCCGTGATGATGGCGGTGGTGATGATGATGATGATGAAGATCTCGATCGACAAGGGATGATGATGATGATGATGATATAGTCATTATTCATTAGGCACATTGGGGGACAAAAGGGCTCCATGGATGTTGTCAGGGGACTGTGATAGGGAAGGGTTGCAAAGAAAACGAAACATGCGAACTTTTCTTCATCAGGACACCCGTCCCCTAATTAGAAATTCAACTAACTAAGTAAATTAGTTCATGGAAGCGTGCATCAAGCCGTGAGCTCTAATCCTCTTGCAGAATAGTGTCTCACGAGAGCGACTCCTGCCCCACGCATCTCTTTGTTATTCCTTGGAAATTTCTCACATCATCATCCCACACGCTTTATCTTCCTGGTCATTTTCCCCGAGCCGCATATAAAAAGCAAGGATGGAAATCCCTCTCAAATTAACTCATCCCCATCAGCATTCTTATTCTCTGCTCCTCGTCGCATCTATTGAGATTGCAATTTCCCTACCGGGTATTCAAATTGACATTGTTCAAGTATTATCTGTGTTCCTCCATGAAAGTCATTTTTTGTTATAATAATTGACTTCTCTTATTAATTGACTTTATTTGGACCTAAAGCCTGATTCTAGATTAGGCACCGGGTCCCAAATATCACCAGATCCCTTTTCTCGTTCGCTGGTTCACGTTGTCATGCAAAGGTTAAGGAGGAGCCGTGGAATCATGGTGACAATCGATGCAGAGACCGAGGGGTATTTCCCTCTTTTCGAAAAAAATGGCGACTATAGATCATAGCTGTTGTTGACTATAATGATGGTGATCACCCTGCTGATTCTAGCCATGGTGGTGATGATCTCAACAAGGGGAAATTATGATAACAATTTATTATTTGGCTCCATCTGTCTCCTCTCAGCCCATGCACGTGTTTGAACTTTTACAATCTTCTGCATGGACCTTGGAGTGCGTCACTTCGAGCTTCAGCTAAAAAAAAAAGGTTCCAGAGAGCCGTAGAAATAGGGATTCCCTTTGTTTTACTATCCAAAGTTCTTTTAGGGTGTGTTTGGTTGAACAACCAAGTGAAATGGAATGTAAGAGCAACTCTACAGATTTGACATATCGGGCGACTGCCATCCACCACATATGGAGGCTATGGATTAAATTGCACAAAACCACTACTTTAAAGGCTAGGTTTGCGAAAAACACTACAATACATTTTTTTGCAGAAAACACCATGTCTACGGTAATCTTTTTGTAAAAAAACACTGACCGGCGTATCTTACGCTGTTAAGTAAGATTATAACAGATGGGTCCCATTTTTGGCTCAAGTGGCATAACGTTTTACCGAAGACAGTGTTAGATAGCTAAAAAAGCAAAAACACCCGCAAGTTTTTACCCTTGTTCTCCGCAGGCCCTTGCCTTGTGCTGCCATCAGCTAGCCGCCAGAGGAGAGGAGCTCCCCACCCCGCGCGCCGTCACCTTCGGCGAGGGATGCCGCGCTGTCGCCCCGTTTTGCCCCAGCGCCGCCACGTCCGGATCCGGCGAGTGATGCCGTGCCGCCCCGCCGATTTGGCCTCCAGCGCGAAGAGACGCCCAACGAAGGCTGCCGGATCCGGTGAGGTATCCCGCGTCGTCGCCCCGTTTTGCCCCCAGCGCCGCCACGTCCGGCGAGGGATGCCGCGCCGCCACCCCGTTTTGCCCCCAGCGCCCCACGTCCGGATCCGGCAAGGGATGCCGCGCCGCCCCGCCGATTTGGTGTCCAGCACGAAGAGACGCCTAGGGACGGCTGCCGGATCCAGCAAGATATGCCGCGCCACCGCCCCGATTGGCCTCCAGCGTGAGGAGGCGCCCAGTGCCGGCTGTCGGATCCGGCGGGGGATGCCGTCGTTGCCTCGATTTGGCCTCCTGCACGAGGAGGCGCCCAACGTAGGCTGCGTTGACCGCCCCAATTTGTGGCGAGGATGCACTCGTCTGATTTCATTTTTTTCTTTTTAATTTAGGGGTGTCTGTGTAAAATCTATAGACTACTTTGTAAAATTAGATTAAACTTGACCTGGCATGAAATGGTATGCCATGTCAGCAAAAAGGGGCCCCAACTATCATAAGCGTGCTCAACCAAGCCAAATATGTCGATCAGTGCTTTCTGCAAAAAGATTATCGAAGACACGGTGTTTTTTGCAAAAAAAATGTATTGTAGTGGCTTTCGCAAACCTTACCTTTAAAGTGGTGGTTTTCTGCAATTTACTCGGAGGCTATGCAAGCGATATGCAAACTCAGACTTGCCATATTTCAGCCTCCGTACATAATTCAAACACTTTGATTCACTCCAAATTTAAATTTTTTGACAAGTTACATGAACGAAAACATTTCATCAGCGACATTTACAAATCACATGTTTCTTCCATTTGCACGTCCCGCTTTTGAGTTTTCTGAAGCGAATGCTCAAATCTTGCAGCCCCGCCCAAAAATCTCGCGCCACATGATCGATTTTGTTCGGATCCAACATGATGAACCGATTTTGCTCAGATGTGCGTTCATTTCTCGCCCGATACTCTATAATTTGGAGACTACGCACCTCGGTCTCCTACTCAATTTGGAGTCTACGCGCCTCCATCTCTTCCTGGTAGCCGTCTTCTTTCTTGCGTTTCATTGCATCTGGCCCTCTTCTCTTGGTTCTTGTTCTCCTCATCTCTAGCTTATCTTGCTTCCTCTTCTCGCCATACTCATTTCTTGTCCTCATCAACTTATCGATCTTTCCTTTTTTAATCACCTTCACCTCTTTCTTTTCTCTTGTGCCTCAGTTTTTCTGACTTCCTCCCATGGGGCTGACCCGTGCTAGACGCTGGAGTGGTACTTCTAAGCACATTTGCCCTTTTCTTTGTATCAACATCATTTGCACCATCATTCATCTCCAGAGAGGAATTGGCCCACTTCTCATCTTTTGGGATGTCATCATCATTCGTTGTCTTCCACTTCTCATGCTCTTCCAACAAATCCCTACAATGCTGGAGGCCAAATGGTTTGCATGTTTGACTTGGGAATTTGTTTGTACCTCTCTTGGGCTATCTCATCCTAAAACAAACAAATGCACAAACTGATGAGAATGCTCAAAGCAATGTAAATGTGGCGATCCAAAAGTAAGAAGATTCTTTACATGTAGATCAATGGTGACACGGCTAGGAGTGCATTTCACATTTTCCTTACAACTCGCCCAGCGATTGCATACCTCTTGAATCGAACCCTATCGGTTCGGATAGATTTGGGCGTACAATTCATTTTTCGCCGAATATGAAATCTGAAACAGTCCTCGATGCGATTCCAATACTTTGTTGTCGAATGCTCTTTCCCACCGATCACATCAAGAGAAATATCTTGCCATGCTAGGACAAGCGCAACATCCTCATCGGGCTTGAAGTTGCTTCTCCGAATTTCCTTCCTTTTCGACGAGCCGAAGCACTCGAATTCCAATTATATATATTAGACGGAGTCATGGTAAAAAAGGTGACAATGATGTGACCTTGAGATCGACATCATTTGTCTCAGAATCATGAATGATACTACTGAAAAATGTTTCATCAATGAGGGTCGATCCGCCAAATTCAGAAGGTCGTCACAAAATCACAAACATTGCACATTTGCCAGCACGGTCATCTCGCATTCAATCGAACAAAAACCGAGTACAAGGCATATGATGCATTCTTTCTACCTCATTGCCATTGCTGATCCGGTGTACGACTTGGAAGCCACCATATTTCCGCCTGCCGTCGGGACAAAATGAGGAGGGGTAAAGGCATTGGTTGGGCTCTTCCAATCTTCTTATTTGGTGTCTTCCCTAAGGACTGCCGCGACACTAGTGGAGGGAGGCCTCTGCCTCCACGTGGCGGCATAGGCACCTCCGCATTGGACACTTTGTCGGCAAGCTGGATCTCGGCCATTGGAGCAGTCGGAGGCGTGGGGTCCCTAGGAGCCTTCATAGGCGTAGCGTCCGTTGAAGTAATCGTATTTGACTTCAATGCGATGAATTTGGGCGCGGGGGTCAAGATGTCGTCCATGGCATCGTCGGATGGAGTGCATTCAAATATCCCCCACAACGGGAGGGTGGGAATGATGTTCGCGGCAAAACCTTTCCAAAAATATACCCCACAGACGCCAAATATGAAGACTCGTGGGCTTGTTTTGAAGCGTTCTTCATAAATTATGGCGATTAAGAGCGGGATGTCGACTCTGATAGAGTGACATTTTCGACTAAAATCATCATAATAGCGATTATTACGATGATCGGGCAGATATGACGACTCTAGCAAAGTTGACGTAATGGTTCCATTCCACACAAATGGAATGGTTCCATCTTTGTGCTTTCTACAAATAATGTGATGGAGTAGTTCCACACACAATAACATTGGAGGAAAAGAAAAGAATGCATTTGGAAAGTGCAGTAACGGAAAACATAGGAACCACTCCAATACGCTGTTTCTAATGTAGGAATTCAAAAAACATTGGAATGCTAACGATGCCATACCATAACGTTAAAAGCTAGTATGTCCCACCTGGCACTCTTAGAAATTCCTGTGAACCGAACAGCGAGTGCTGCTAGGGTCTGCATTTCCATTTTTCCGTCTCCGCCGGTTTGGTCTCTGTCCCCGGCACCGCGCATGGCAACGTTTGGTCGAGTGGCAGCGGATCGCGACGACGGGCGCGCGCGGCCGTTGCTTCCGCGGTCCGGTCTCTCTCCCCGCTCGCCTCCATGCCGGCTGCTTGCGGCGGCGTACAACGACGGCGAATAACTCGGAAGCGTGCGCGCCCAGTGCAGCCCGGGTAGCGCTCCGATGACGGCGACGGCCCCCTGTCGTGTCGCCGTTCTGATCGGTCTCGCGGTGGCGGAATGGACGGGACGGGACAAGAGCGAACGAATAATTGGTGGCGTCTTGTGATCGATCCATGGTGCGATGTGGTATTGTAGCGTGCTGGGCCGTGGCTGCCACGTGAGGCGCCGATGGATGCCGTCG